AGCGGCACGTGCACAAAATCAAACCTAAATTTGGTTCCTCCGAAATCTTGAATTTTTCTTAGTACACATAAGTGCATGCAGTAAAACGGCGTAATCCCCATAATACAAGTATAAACTGTAAATGGGAAGATGAAGGGAATATTCGAGCTACAACCAGCTTGTGTATTGTGCGTTTAAAGGTAAGGATGTGATAACTTAGAGGGAAGACTGAAAGCGAAGGTGTTCATGGCTGATGACTGAAAGTTTAAAATGCAACACCTGAAGATGGTCGCTTGAAATGTGTGGTTAGCCGTTTGTGTGCGGGACCTACGAGGAAGAATAAGTAGGAGAGGGACAGAAGCTGTAAGTTCACTAGAGCGAAATCCAAAATAGTATCGGTTACTATTGTGTATAACTTTTGCAAGCACTGGAGCTCACATTTCAGTTAAAAAATCATACACGCTAACCGTCACAATGCACATAATCAACGGGGAGAAAAATTTTTACAGGCATGGGGACATTTTATAATCCAAGGTTAAGACAAAGTTCACTTATTGTCAGCTCTTTGTTTATGAGCAGACGGGCAAGATACGGTATGGGTGAATTGCAGTATGCGTTAATTCGAGATGAAATTTGGCGGAATTGGGAGCGTGTCGAGTAAAGGGGAAGTGTCAGTTCCGCATGCAATGGGTGATCAGGATCTGTGAAAATTCTCTCAGCAAATTTCACACAGGAAGTTACGTGATACTCTGAAAACTTTACAGCTATTTCATTCACACGAATAGAAGAGATACGACTAATAATGGTTGGACCTGTTTGAGTAAACAAGGAAAAATAACTGTGGAACAGTAGAGTGAGATGGGGAAAACACACTTATAAACAAAGGTAGAAATAATTGACTGGGATGCGCTAAATTGCCTGCGCCTTCGAATTTGAAATGACAAGCGCTGCAGTTTACCAATGCAGTTGTGAATGTGGGTTGACCGATGAAGACTGCTATCTATGTTTAGACCAAGATATTTGGACAAAGTTCACCCTGGATAAAGGATTGTTATTAATCACTGTGGGGTCTGTCGGATAAGTATATATATATATACCACTGGCTTGTAGACAAGCATGGTGCCAACGCTACAACAATAATTACAATAACAATGAAAGGGGACAGGTGGATTGGAGTACAGAACAGGGTGAAAAGGGGGTGAAGCAGTTAAACACGCGAAAACGGAAGATATCTGGAATAAAAATTTTTTGTGTTTCATCGTAAACCTTTGATATTTTTTGTGTTGTTTGTTGTTTTTCAAGGGGGGCGGGATTTTGACAGGCAGACCGTACAGCATTCATGCCACTGACTTCTGTTCTGGAACATATCTCTCAGCGTGTCTAACTAACGACAATCCCCATCCCTTGGGCCCCAACCTAGAAGGCGGACTGCACCAACCGAAGCCAAAGCTGAGGCTGGCTTCTTCATGCCTCTAACCCATGTTATGGTCTGACCGCCGCGCCGCTTCTTTCAGCCTTGTCCGGCACCTGCGAAGAAAGCAC